TTTGAAGGATGAATGTTTCCGAGCTTGAGTTTCTCTGACTCCGGGTGTAGATATGATCACTGCTGGGAATGGGTTCTAACCAACTGGAGTAAAACCCGCGATACGCGGAGCCAGGATCTTTTCCCGCAAATTCTCCGGACCCGGAGTCAATTTCATCCGTCCCGTAGTTATGAACTTTCAAAGAGATTTAACTGTTTTATTTTTTAATCTTTTTTGAGCAAGATTAGAGACACCTATTTTAAACAAAATTTTATCTAATGGGACTATAAATGTAATTTCAAGTGGTTTTTCATAAATACAATGCCATGTCCTATTCACAATGGTACTCTTAAAAGCTTTGTCAAATAAAGGTTCAAAGGGTATCTTTGTGAATTGGGCATGCCCTTCAATTTTTTTAATGGAGTGTCGCTTGAAATTTTGACACCAGTCCCTTTAAACTTAGTTAAAGTTTTAAGTTTATATAAACTGCTGACAGTTTAGGTTTCGTTTATTTAAACCATTCTAAAGTTTAAAGTTTAAAACCACTAAAAGTTTCGTTTCCTAAAAACTGAAAAGGTTTCGTTAACTCAAATCCCTTCATATAGTTCAGGTTTTGTTTATTAAACTGCTAAAAGTTTAGGTTTTGGTAATTTCAAGAACATATAGTTTAGGTTTTGTCAATTTAATCTGCTATAAGTTTAAGTTTCGGTAATTTAAAGAACATATAGTTTAAGTTTTGTTAATTTAAACTTCTAAAAGTTTAAGTTTCGGTAATTTAAAGAACATATAGTTTAGGTTTTGTTAATTTAAACTGCTAAAAGTTTAAGTTTCGGTGATTTAAAGAACATGACTAAAAGTTCAGATTTCGTTATTCTATAGCACATATAGTTTGGGGTTTGTTAATTTAAACTGCTAAAATTTCAGGTTTCGTTAATTTATAGCACATATAGTTCAGGTTTTGTTACTTTAAACTGCTAAAAGTTTAGGTTTCGGTAATTTAAAGCACATATAGTTTAGTTTTTGTTAATTTAAACTTCTAAAAGTTCAGATTTCGGTAATTTAAAGCAAATATAGTTCAGGTTTTGTTATTTAAACTGCTAAAAGTTTAGGTTTCGTTAATTTAAAGCAAACATAGTTTAAGTTTTGTTAATTTAAATTGCTAAAATTTCAGGTTTCGTTAATTTAAAGCACATATAGTTTAGGTTTTGTTAATTTAAACTGCTAAATTTCAGATTTCGTTAATTTAAAGCACATATAGTTTAGTTTTTGTTAATTTAAAGTGCTAAAAGTTCAGTTTTCGGTAATTTAAAGCAAATATAGTTCAGGTTTTGTTATTTAAACTGCTAAAAGTTTAGGTTTCGTTAATTTAAAGCACATATAGTTTAGGTTTTGTTAATTTAAACTGCTAAAATTTCAGGTTTCGTTAATTTAAAGCACATATAGTTCAGGTTTTGTTAATTTAAACTGCTAAAATTTCAGGTTTCGTTAATTTATAGCTAATATAGTTTGGGTTTTTATAATTTAAAATGCTAAATTTCAGTTTTCGTTAATTAAAAGCACTCATAGTTTTTTTATTTAAGCGGCCTACAGTTTAGGTTTGTTGATTTAAATCACATACATATTTAGTTTAGGTTTTGTTAATTTTATCATCTAAAGTTTAGGTTTTGTTAATTTTAACACCTAAAGTTTAGGTTAATCTAAACTGTCGTCGTCGGGGTCGTTAATTCACACTAAAAAGTCAAAACTACAATATTTGTACAATATTTAGATTATATGCTTTACATTCTCTTCTTTGATATTTGCAGTGCCCATACTCTCAATATTGATCCTTGTTATTTTTATTATATTTTTAACTCCCAGGTTTGGGGTGAGATTATTGTGTGAAGTATAATACAAGCTATTATCTACATTTATCACCCATATAACCCATTGTTTAGGGAAAGATGCAAGCTTTTTATATTTTATTTATATTTATTAAATAACGGCAACAAAAAATGTAATCAAAATTCTACAGTAAAGTAATTAGTTGTTTAGAAACATGTCGAGAAAATAAAAAAATAACTCTTATCATCTAAAATAAGTAATCTTATTCAATTCTTAGTTTCTATAATCTCTCTTTAATCACAAAGATTATCTTCAGATTTTCTGGAATTTTTATTAAAAAGACGACATTTGAAGAATTTGAAGAAATCTGCGAACAAATTCATAGAAAATAAGAAATTCAATATAATGATGAAAAAGGAAATAATTAATTCTAACTTCGATTTATTGGCAAATTTCTTTTGAGAAATATGTTCAGCTAAACATCTAATTAGTTTACTATAAAATTTTTACTATATTTTTCCTCGTCGTTATTTAATAATTTTAAAAAACCGATTCTGATTTGTACCCACCCAAATTCATGATTTTAAAAGTCGACTTTGCGCTCAAACTCATTAATTATAGTAATTACTTATCGTGGAAACGTTTTATATGTCTCAAATGAATCCTAGAGAATTTGTCCACAACACTGCGTACTCTGTTTAACTACCTTACATAGCCGTTCTGTCCCTTTAAGTAGACCGTGTGGTTATTACATAGCTATAAAAATATGAAGAAGGTTAAAGTTTGATTAATCAACTAGTTTAATGAGATAAAAGAAGTAGTTTTGACAATAATAAGAGTTTAATTACTCCGAACCTAACCAAACTAAACTTCAGTATTGTAATCAGCAATCCTTTCCCGCAAAATTATTCTAAAGGTTTAGAAAACTGAAACCTCTTCCAAGCAACGAGCTAGTGTCTATTTAATCAGTTTATTTTTTTCGCCTAGAATGGAACAAATCCTAGTCAATTTTCAAGTAGTTTTTTTTTTAAAAACCTGACGGAAAACAGAGATATCTTTACAGTACATGTAAATTTATTTAAATCGTTGTAAATCTTCATTTAAAATTGTGTAACTTAATTTTTCGTTTTCATCTTCGTCTCTTATATTTTTTATTTGACGTCGCACGTTAAATCTTTCAGATTCTGAACAAATAACTTTTGAATGTTGCGAGCGTTTTGAGATCTGAAACAAGTTTTTTAAATAATTAAGCCTAATCTGTAAAATGTTTTTAATAAAAAGTGCTTGAAATTTAAAGGGACCGTTCACTTATTTGGGTAATTTCAGGGTAAACTAAACAGCCTATTCGCTCTTGATTGGTAATAGTCTCACTTTTTAAAGAGAAAAAGCCGATTTTTCGTCTAGAATTTGAGCGGAAAGGGACGGTCCCTCTCTATAGACACTATTTGATGTTTTTTTTGCCACAGTTGTTTTTGAAAAGTAAGACTATTACTAATCAACAGCGAATAGGCTGTTTAGTTTACCCTGAAATTACCCAAATAAGTGAACGGTCCCTTTAAATAACATAAAAACGTATATCCTGTCGACAATCTCAAAAAAATGGCAAAAACTATTGACTTACTATTTATGGTTCTCATTATTCTGTTGAACAAATGCTTCAAACTCTAATTTTCTAATCACTATAATCTTTGGAACCAAATGTTGCAGACCTTAGATATTTTAAACTATGAATTTTGTTAGATCAAATAATCTTAGTTTGAAATATCAAAGGTTTACAACATCTAGTTCTGAAGATATTGAGGTTTAAATATTTGATTTAGTTCCAAAGACTCAATTCCTTTAATTCCTGTTTTCAGTTTCAGAAGGTTCGAGTGTTGAAACAAGTTTCCTTTAGTTAGTTTCTCTGTTTGTTTGCTATCAATTCAAGTCAACGTGCTTTTCTGGATTATTTAACAGACGCCAACCCTAGAGGTTTAGGACGCAATCAAGTTATAAACAACACAATCTAAAGATCGGAATTTTTATTAGAAATTTAACACACCCTAAAATCCAACCCTATTTTTCTATACTCAAGGATGTATTCTTACCTCCAGGATAACTCTAACCTATCCTACTCCAGGATAACTCTAACCTATCCTACTCCAGGATAACTCTAACCTATCCTACTCCAGGATAACTTTAACCTATCGTACTCAAGGATAACTCTAACCTATCCTACTCCAGGATAAATCTAACCTATCCTACTCCATGATAACTTTAACCTATCCTACTCCAGGATAACTCTAAACTATCCTACTCCAGGATAAATCTAACCTATCCTACTCCAGGATAACTCTAACCTATCCTACTCAAGGATAAATCTAACCTATCCTACTCCAGGATAACTCTAACCTATCCTACTCCAGGATAATTCTAACCTATCCTACTCCAGGATAATTCTAACCTATTCTACTCCAGGATAACTTTAACCTATCTTACTCCAGTATAACTCTAAACTATCCTACTCCAGGATAAATCAAACCTATCCTACTCCAGGATAACTTTAACCTATCCTACTCCAGGATAACTCTAACCTATCCTACCCCAGGATAACTCTAAACTATCCTACTCCAGGATAAATCTAACCTATCCTACTCCAGGATAACTCTAACCTATCCTACTCAAGGATAACTCTAACCTATCCTACTCCAGGATAATTCTAACCTATCCTACTCCAGGATAATTCTAACCTATCCTACTCAAGAATGTATTCTACCTACCCTACTCCAGAATAAATTTAACCTAACCTACTCGAGGATAAATCTAACTTAACCTATACTCTAGGATAACTCTAATCTATTCTTTTCATAGATAAATCATATCGCTGGCTAATAGCGAAACAAAGATGGAAAAAGAACTATAAACATGAGCATATCAAAATACAAATTGGAGTGAAGCTTTTATCTCACTCAATTTTTTTAACAAACTTAGAAGCATATTGTACATTTTGACTATGCCCATGTTTATTGGAACTCCCTGTAGCCTTTTAGAGAATATACACTGAAGTTTATTAAAATGTGAGACAAATTTCAAGTAGTTTCTTATTTATTGCACTTAATATGTATACATGATTTTAAAGCATTGAGTCTTTGCCACAAACTCAAATGTTCCAATCCTTATATATTTGCAAACCAATGTCGTAGACCTTAGATATTTCAAAATATGAATTCTTTTGGATCAGAAAATTTAATTTTTGAATATGAAAGGTATACCGTCAGGTTGCTAAGATATAGGGACCAGAAAATAAGATTTGTTACCTAAGACTTAATTTTTTTACTAAGTTAATTTACATAATATTCAGTTACATTGCAGACCGATGGTTTTATAAATAAAATAAATAAAGTAGATTCCAGCGACTTCTTCTCTCCTCCTCTCCTGAAAATATCATGTTAGTTTTAAAGTACAAATTGTTGAAATAAAATTTAAAGTTTTAAAAGGTTTTGTAATAAAATATTGATATATTTATATTTACCTTTAAACTTCCTTCTCAAATATAAGTTTTCATATGGAACCTGAAATATGAAACTATTAAGAAAATTTTGACTTAAACCATTTTCTTTGAAAACATATGTTTTTTTTTATCATGCAAAATGCGCAATGCACAAAAAGCAACAACAAAAATGCGTACAAAAAAGAAAATAAAAACTAGCCAATACAAAGCGAACAAATTTACATGCTATATTCAAAAAGCGGGGTTGCAAAAATAAATTAAAATGTCCAATCCAGGCTATTTCATTGATAGACAGATGGTATCCAAGTTAAACCAAAATATAAATATTGTTTCTTTGTGTCAAAACTTTATTCAAATATTAAACAATTATAAAAATAGACCTATTTTCATTATAGGGTCTGTAAGCATAATTTTAAGTAACCCTCCATGCAAAAATGGCTATGCCTGATTTACAACGGTACCCTTGAAAAAGTGTTTATTCCTGAGAATTTCTCGATTGCTTCTTATAATCAAAAAATGCGCGCAGGTCACTTTCACAGAGAAATCGCAAATGAAAATAAACAGTTTAAAGGAATAATTAAAAACCTGCATTAATTAATTAATACTTGATAAGACAAAGCTTTTTAAGATATTGTTGTAAATTGGACATTGTCATCTTTGCACGGAGGCTCACTCGAAATTACGCGTACAGTCCCTTTTATCTTAAAAAATATTTCAAAATAAAAATTCTCCCCAAATGACGATGGAGAAAAAATAAAATGTGTGAGAAAATTTGTGGTTCATCATACCTTGCTCCTGTCTCCTGGGTCCAGTAGAGAGACAGGGTCAAAGGAAAGGAATTACAGAATAATTTGCGAGGAAAATAAGTCAAAGGTTCGTGTGTCTCAGGGTAGGATAAGACACACTAGGACGAAACAAGATGGATCAATGAGTATTGACAATGATTAAACCCTTTAAAAAGGATTATAGGACCATGGTTCAAGATACTTAAAAATTTAGGAAAGGTAACCAGGATAAAAAAGAAGTTCAAATACAGAATGAAATGATAACATGAAGAAAAACCAGGATACCATTCAAATATCAAATTAAAACCAGATCGAATATGACCTCGAACTAGGATAACATGAAACAGGATGAATCATTGAACTAGGATAAAGTGAAACAGGACAGTTCTTGAGGAAATTAACTAGGATATAATGAAAAAGGACGGATCCGAACTAGGATATAATGAAATAGTACTGAATTAACAAGGATATAATGAAGAAGGACGGATCAGAACTAGGATATAATGAAATAGTACTGAATTAACAAGGATATAATGAAGAAGGATGGATCAGAACTAGGATATAATGAAATAGAACGGAATTAACAAGGATATAAGGAAACAGGATCGATCCAAACTAGGATAAAATGAAAAGGGACGGATCAAAACTGTAAAAAAGAATAAAACAGGACTAATAAAACTAGAATACAATGAAACAGAACTAATCAGAAGAAGGATACAATGAAAAAGGACGGATCAGATTGGGGATACAAGGAAACAGGACGGATCGAACCAGGATATGATGAAAGAGACGGATTAGATTCAGGCTACAATTAGGGTTGTTAATCGTTTTTGAAAACGAGCGTTAAACGATCGTTTTTTTCGTTTTCCTATCGTTTTTTGTTTCGTTTTTCGATCATTTTAAAAACAATCGTTTTAAAAACTTTTTAAAAAACGATAGTTTTTAAAACGATCGGAAAACGAAACAAAAAAACGATAGGAAAACGAAAAAAACGATCGTTTTTTCAAAAAAATGAAAACGTTAACATCCCTAGCTACAATGAAGCAGGAATGATCAGAATAATGTTAGATTACCATAACAGGACGGAGAGGAATGGAATGAAATTAATTTTTTACTCTCCAAAAGATTTTTAGAACAGGTTTGATTAAAATAAATAATAAAAAGAGAAGGAGAAAATGCAGATGAAATATACAACTCTAGATAGGATAAAAAGGATAGAAAAGGAAGAATAAAATAATACGCAATAGGCATTCTAAACTAGAATAGGAAGAATACAATAATACGCAATAGGCATTCTTAATCAATATTTGAAGCAAGAACAGGATGCATATACAAAACATATTTGGAGAATACATGATGTAACTCTTCATAAAGGATAGAGTAGGAAGGCAAGGTAGGTAAAGTAAAGGTATTAGGAATAAAAATAGGAAACCTAAAATTTGAAAAATTAAATATTATTATTTAATCGATTAAATAGTAGGGATCTTTATACTTTATTTAATAACATCGGGGTTTACAAGATCATTTTTCTAATTTATATAATTTTAAAGCTTTGCCAGTATTTAATTAAGATACTTTAGTTATAAAATATAATTTACAAAAGGACTAGTTGATCTTAAATCAAAAGGAACATTTTTGATAAATATTTTAATGCCATTTTTGTATCTTTTCTCTGAAAAACATATTCTTATTGCACATGTTTTTATATGACTAGATTGCACTGTAAAGATTGTCAATAGTTTAAAACATTTCGACTGAAAAATTACGTAGTTTAAAAACTAGCTTTAATTCCTTATTGTTGTGGTTTTTCATCTCCAGGTAGTTATTAGAATAGGGAATCAGGTTCTGTGAAGAGCCCGGGTACATTTCTGTTTCTATCTTTAAAGAATAAAAGTTTTAGCAAAAATGTTTTAATTTAAAAAGTTAGAATCTGCGAAATAGAAATGTAGAACCTGAAGTATTTGAATAAAGTCCTGGAACTAGAACTCTCAACACCCTGGTATAAAACAAACTCTTCTCACAAAGTTAACATGAATATAAAGAATTCTCNCCACCCTGTCAAACTCCTTTCATCGTCTTAAATACTGAATATTATCAATCTATAGAAAAGGTTCCGAAAGAGTCTACAATCTTTATCATTTTGTTTAAAAGTATTTCAAATCTTTTAGACTTTTTAAATTTAAGATTTGCTAGGGTTGGCTAGACCTGCAATTATCGGATATTTCTAAAATCAAAGATTAATTAAAAATGTTCGTCTTAAACCTGTTGGAATAAACCCCTTTCCTCCAGAATGTATGAGAAGAGAATACCTTATTTATCCCTGAACCTCTCCCTGCTCTGTCTGTATCCCGGAGACAATCTTCTCCACCAAGATAAACTCCGAGAACTCGGAGCTAAACTGAGATCAACGGAATCCAAACTTAATCTCTCCTGAGACAAAGCCTTAACCAACTCCATCCTCTCTCCCTCCATCTTCTTCTTCATCTCCATCATCCGTCCGACCTCGGCAATATCCTTGAGTGCTTGTTTTCTCCTGAGCTCCAGCTCCTGAACCCGTCTAGTTCTCACCTCCTCATCGTTCTCCTGGATTAGATGAACCCTGGACTCATTTATCTCCGGGTCTATAATGTTGATTTCAGGACCAGAGAGCAGATCATTCAAAACCTTAACTCAAGCATTGAACTTCATTAAGTTTTTTAGTCTTTCTGGGAAATAGTTTAAAAGTCCTTTTAGGGGAGCTGGTGAGGAGCATGCTAAAAGACCTATCAGGGGAGCTGGTGAGGAGATGCTAAAAGACCTATCAGGGGAGCTGGTGAGGAGCATGCTAAAAGACCTATCAGGGGAGCTTGTGAGGAGCAAGCTAAAAGACCTATTAGGGAGCTGGTGAGGAGATGCTAAAAGACCTATCAGGGGAGCTGGTGAGGAGCATGCTAAAAGACCTATCAGGGGAGCTGGTGAGGAGCATGCTAAAAGACCTATCAGGGGAGCTGGTGAGAAGCATGCTAAAAGGCGTCTTTTTATGAGGGGAGGGGGTTCCTTTTTTAAAAAAAAAAGATAGTTGGGAATCCTCATATTAATGTTTATGTTGAATCTTTTTGTGATTTTACAAAGGAACTGAGTTCTTGCCACAAACTAACTTTTCTAATCCCAATATCTTTACAACTCGATGAAATAGACCTTTGATATTTCAAACTTAGACTATTTGATCCAACAGAATTCATAGTTTGAAATATCAAAGGTCTACAACATCGGGTTGCACAGATATAAAAATTTAAAAACAAGAGTTTGTTGCAAGAACTCAGTTCCTTTTATGATTTTTTTGTCATTTAAGTCGGATGAAGGAGGAGGGGGGGGGGGGGGTGAGCCCATTTAATTTTAAGTAAATCTTTATGAAGGTGGATAAGGGATTTATGATTTTTCAATATCTCTCCTGTTTCTGTTTAGCAGCAATAGTCTCTAGAATATTAAGTCTGGATCCTGTATTTGCAGTCTCTATGTTCATATCATTAAGTGCCTCCTCGATATTATCAATAATCTCAGACTGCTTCCTGGAAACTGATTCTAGCTCAACCAATCTCTCCTCAGTAAATATATCGTCAGGTCGCTCTTTTTCCAGTCCAGCTTCTAAAATTAGGATTATTATTATTTTATTAGTTTACTGCGAATATTTCCTATTCAGAACCTGAATTAATGGAATTTATAGTTCAAAGTTTTGTGACGGAGAAATTATAATTGACCATAAATACTCAGGCACTTGTAATTCTCATTTCTTTCAAAATTATAAAACGGAGAATCAAGCAAAGCTAGTATTAACCCCCCTCCTTCATACATCCATTCCCCTCAAAGCATCCCCCCTTATTATAACCATTCTCCCCCCTCACCATCCTCTTCCTTCCATTTTTCTCCATTGAAATAGATTAGTTTCGTTCCATTTAGATTCATCTTGATATTTTAAAATTAAATCTTTTAAATTCCAACCATTTCCTATCAAGGAGAAAAAGATTGCAGAGCTGTGCCAGGGTTTTCACATTTGGAACTAAATTTCAAAAACTAAACACTAAAACTTCAAGATGTAACACCCTATCTACCAAAACTTCAAGATATAACGACCTATCAACTAAACGGTTAGAAGTTTAAGAACAGTGACTTTACGTTTAGGAACACCGTTAGAAGTTTAGAAACAGTGGCTAGATGTTTAGGAACATTGGCTAGAAGTTTAGAAACAGTGGCTAGAAGTTTAGGAACAATGACCAGAGGTTAAGGAATAACAGCTAGAAGTTTAGGAACGATAGCTAGAATTTTAGGAACAATGGCTAGAAGTTTAGAAACAGCGGCTAGAAGTTTAGAAACAGTGGCTAGAAGTTTAGAAACAATGGATAGATGTTTAGGAACAATGGCTAGAAGTTTAGGAACAGTGACTAGAAGTTTAAAAACAATGGCTGGAAGTTCTGAAACAATAACTAGAAGCTTAGAAACAGTTACTAAAAGCTTAGAAACAGTTACTAAAAGTTTAGAAACAGTTACTAAAAGTTTAGAAAGAGTAGCTAGAAGTTTAGAAACAGTGGCTAGAAGTTTAGGAACAATAGCTAGAAGTTTAGGAATAATAGCTAGAATTTTAGGAACAGTAGCTACAAGTTTAGAAAAAAAGGTTATAAGTATAAAAACAATGGCTAGAAGTTTAGGAACAATGCTAGAAGTTTAGGAACAATGACTAGAAGTATAGAAACAGTAGCTAGAAGTTTAGAAGCAGTAGGTAGAAGTTTAGGAACTATGGTAACAAGTTTAGGAACAAGAGCTAAAAGTTTAGTAATAAGGCTAGATGTTTAGAAACAATGGCTAAAAGTTTACGAACAATAGTTAGAAAATTAGGAACCATAACTTTATATTGAAGAACTGTACCTAATCGTTTAAGAACCTGCTCCTGAGCTTGAATAGCATCCTCTAGACCTTTTATTTTCTCATTCTGTTCCATCTCGCCAATAAGCTGCTGCAACATGGCTTCCTGCTTCTGTAGCATCAGTTGGTCAGATCTATTCTTCTGTTCAGATCGAACCTGCTCCGGGTTCCTGATTCTTTCTCCCTGAAAGATTCCTGATGGATCATCAAAGTTGATATTAATGTTATCTCCTCCGTTCCCACCTTTTGTCTGAGGAATTATCACTATTTGTGGATACTGAGCATTATTGACTATTTTTGTCTTTGTGACAATCCTATCCTGGTTTTCAACTGGTCTAGTATTTGGTTTGCGTCTTCGTTTTTTCGGAGCCTGATTGTTTATCATCCCACTTAGTGCTGATAAATGGAGTCTTGGAGCAGGATCTTGGATGGCTTCGTAATCATAATCAGGGTTTGGATTCTCCGGGACGAAAGAAAGTTTGGGTTTCTCCGAGTCCTGTGATTCATGGGATAAATCTAGGGTTTCAGTAAACTCTGGGACAAGATGGTTAGCTGGGAGCCTTTGTGGTGAGGGTGGGCCTGGAACAGGTTCCTGAGCTGATGGTGGCAAGATGCGGGATGGAAATGGGGGAACTGAGTTGAAGAGAAAGGATTCCTGATCTGCTAATCTTATTGGAGAAGAACTCTCCGGACTCGCACTGAATATATCCATGAAGGAGGTTCCAGGTGCTCCAGGAGGGCCTGCCGGGCCCCTCAACCCTTGCTCTCCTCTAACTCCAGGGTGACCTCGAGGACCCTGAGGTCCGGGGGGACCAGGAGGTCCAGGGGGTCCAGGTATTAATCGAATATTTTCCTCTAGATTCTCAATAACTCCAACATTATCCTGAAAAAAATAAACTGCATTTATCCTTCGTAAAGACAAACTTTTAAATTAAAAGACTTTTAACTCTCTTACCTGGTTAAAACGTTGCTTCTGTTTCAGAAGCTGAGCAGCTTTTCTGATATCCCAAGCTTGGTTCGGTACTTGGAACTCATCCCTACTCAGTTCATTAAGTAGGCGCTGGAGTTCTGTTTCCTGCAACCTCATTTTCACCTTATTCATCTCCTCTACCTTCTTATCGTCCTCAACCTTCTCATCGTCCTCAATCTTCTCATCGTCCTCAACCTTCACATCGTCCTCAACCTTCTCATCGTCCTCAACCTTCTCATCATCCATGTATTCTTCTTTTGTCCGGAATAAATCTACATAGTTTCTTAATCCGATTAGCTGCTCAACGTCTATATTAGGTTTGTAAGTTGAGGCCTGAATGTTCTCCGTCGTGGTTTTTTTGCCACCGGAGCTAAATTCATTCCCAGATACTAATTCATCTTTGCTCAGTTGTGCTAGGAGGTCTTGGATGTTTGAAGTTGTCAAACCCTTAGGGGTTACCTGTTCAACCTCCTCCTCCTCCTCCTTCTGTTCATTTAGTGGTTCCTGGTCTGTCCTTAGCTCGGGTTCTCCTGGCTCTGGAGTTCCTGCAAGGAACATATTTTTTGATGGCATTATTTTATCTCCGTTCTTCCATTTCCTGAGATTGTGAAAATTTCCCTCTTTAATAAAAAATTAACTTTTGAATCTCACAGCCCCCACCCCTTCCTTCTCAAATCTTTTTTCAATTGTCTATACCCTCCCCCATACAATCATCAAAATAAATGTATTAAAACTTTTCTTCCTTTTCATTAGAGCCTATCGATCCTTTTTTAATTTGAGTGAAACGAAAACATTCTCAGAATCCTACTTTTAATTTAAATAATATTTATTTTTCTAATTAACTAGTTCATGCAACTGTGTAACGTGCAGTTGGTTCTCGGTGAAACAGAAAGAATATTTTCTTTTGGAAGATTTTAACATTCCTAAACTTATCTCCGCTCTCCCGTATGTTCCACAAGTCCGGAGAAACGGTTTCGGAGGATAAACCGTTCTCCTCGAGTAATTTCTGCAGATCAGACAGTTTTATTTGTTGTTTGGGTTGTTGAGATTTATCTGCAGGTTGGGTTGATTGAGGTTTTATATTCCAAGTTTTCTCTGGTTTAGTGTCAACACTAAGTCCGTTGAGAGAAAACAAATTCTGCAAGCTTTCTAATTCTTCGGAATTAATTTTATCCTCTTTATTCAGTTTTTGCAAAGATTCTTTCAACTTTTGTGCACTTTCTCTTATATTCCACGGAGTTTTAGGAGTAGTTAATTTCAACTTATTACTCTCAAGTAGTTTCTGCAATTCGGATAAATTAATTTTAGAAGATTTCTTCTCCTCGTGTTGGGACGGAGACGAATGTTTCTGATGGGAAATCCCACTTAACGATGGAGATGTTTCCTCTCTAATATTCCCCTTGTTCTCCGGAACTTTTGGTTTTAGAGAATCACTCAGCTCTAGAAGCTTAGAAATTTCTGCTCCAGACACTTGTTTAGACTTGAACTTATCGGAGCTCTCGCGAATATTCCAAACAGAATCCGGCACATTTTGGGCAAGAACACCGCTCAGCTGGAAGAGTTCTTGCAAATCTGTTGTTCTGAGTGTGACTGCTCCGGCGCTATCCTTGATATTCCAAAGAGTTTCAGGAATCCTGGGATCCAAAGATCCACTTACTTCAAACAACCTCTGAAGGTCTGTGGCTTGAATTGAAACCATATCCGGGTCCGTCTTTGGAACAGGTCTGATCGTCCACGCGGTTTCGGGAGATTTTTCTTTTAGGCTTTGCTCAGACTGGAGCAACTTTTGAAGATCTGTGGTTCTAAGTGTAACCGTATCAGTTTGAGGTCGAATATTCCAGACACTTGCTGGAACCATCGGTCTTAAGTCTGGGTGAGATTCGAGTAATTTTTTAAGCTCGGTCGATTTTAGAGTTACAGTTTCAGTCGTCTTCTTCTGAGAAAAGTCTTCTGTTAGTAGAAGCCTCTGGAGATCTTTAGTATTAACCTTGATAGAATCAGGTTGAGGACGGATACTCCAGACATTCTCCGGTACCATAGGTTTTAGGTGAGGATGGGATTCAAGAAGTTTCTGCAATTCAGTAGTTTTTAAAGTCATGCTATCAACAGAGTCTTCCTGGAACCCCTTTTCAGACTGTAGGAGATGTTGAAGATCTGTAGTTCTCAGGGTTACCTCTTCAGCCTGGGCTCTAATATTCCAAATACTCTCTGGAACTATTGGTTTTAGTTCTGGGTGAGATTCAAGAAGCTTCTGAAGATCGGTTAATCCAATATTTTCTCTCTTCAAGTCAAGGTTTGGGGATTTATCCTCTGCAAAAATGAGTTTTTCAAAATCTTTTGTCTTCACTGTTATAATTTCAGGTTGGGGTCGAATACGCCAAACCTTCTCAGGAACCATTGGTCTCAGGTTGGGGTGGGACTCCAATAGCTTTTGTAATTCCGTAGATTTTAGGGTTACAGTTTCAGGTACACTAGATCCAGGACGGATAGTCCACGCATTTTCTGGAGACTTGTCCCTTAAACTGTCTGATTGAAGTAGCTTTTGAAGATCTGTGGTTCTAAGAGTAACAGTTTCTGGTTTGGGTCGGATATTCCAGATACTTTCTGGAACCATTGGTTTCAAATCAGGATGAGTTTCAAGAAGTTTTTGTAATTCTGTGGATTTAAGAGTTACAATCTCAGCTACGTTCTTTCTAAAATTCCAGGGTTGGGACGGAGTTTCAGGAGTTAAACCATGTTGCTCAAGGAGGGTTTGAAGATAGGTTTTCTCCGGTCCAGGTTTCTCCATTTGAGATTCATCTCTCATACGCTCTCCAGGTCCGTTCCTGTACGAAGAGAACTTGACTCATACATGAATAAAGAAAATTTCGGGAAATATCATTTCTGTGAATTTGATACGTGAACTTTAGACAGGTTTTCCTAGGCTTGGTTTTACATATTTATAATAAATTACATTTCATTGCTCCCACATGTTGGTACATGTTGGTACATGTTGGTACATGTTGGCAAGATACCAAATAGATAACTTTAAAAAATAAACTTTATTTTTTCCAAGTAAAACATGGCTAATTATAGAAAAAAATTAAATCGTAATTATTTTGTATAATTAGGGGTTTTGATTGTTCTTCAATCAACTTAATCTAGGAGGAATTATCAAGTTCTTTGCCTGGTTTGCTCCGGTAGGTTCTGTAACCTGGTTCCATCTCTAATATTCCAGGGTGTATCCGGGGCTAACTCATCTCTTAATCCCTCTGAGATCGATAAATTTGATAAAGTTTTCAAATATTTTGTTTCATTTGGTCTTAAGAAAAATTGGAAAGGAATTGAGTCTTTCCCATAAACTCTGATTTACTATTCACTATATCTTTGGAATCAAATGTTGCAGACCTTAGATATTTCAAATTATGAATTCTGTTACATCAAATAATCTGAGTTTGAAATATCAAAGGTTTACAACATCGGGTTCTAAAGATATTGGGGTTTAAATATTGGATTTTGTTCCAAAGACTAAATTCCTTTTAACCTAGGACTAGTTTGAAACGTTATCAAAACTTATACAGATAGGACATCAGATACGCAGTTGTATAATATATATAGGACATCAAGAATCAAAGAATACACAGATAGGATTTCACGTATGGTAGTTGTATTATAGATAAGACATCAGGAAGCAAAGAATATACAGATAGGACACCAGATATTGCAGTTGTATATTAGATAGAACATCAGGAAGCAAAGAATATACAGATAGGACACCAGATATTGCAGTTGTATATTAGATAGAACATAAGGAAGCAAAGAATATACAGATAGGACACTAGATATTGCAGTTGTATATTAGATGGAACATCAGGAAGCAAAGAATATACAGATAGGAAACTATATATTGCAGTTGTATATTAGTTGGAACATTAGGAATTAAATGATAAAAAGATAGGACACCATATATCGTAGTTGAGATTATATTTGTATGATATATATAATTTTATAAACTTGCAGATTTTTAGATTTTTTCCTTCTTCATCATTTGATTTTTTTTACGGCCCGATTCCCTACAGTATAAGTACGTCCAGAAGTTGTATTGTACAACATTTACTGAACTACAACTACATATCTTGTCTTATCTGTGTAATCTGTGCAGGAAAAAAGTGGCCAATTAATAGTAATGGTTTCTGCAAATTTAAACAAAAACTATTATTAAAGTTTAATTGTATATGATGAAAACATTAATTATTTATCGGATACCTAGCAGTCTCTGTAGATCAGTAGATTTAGGAGTAGGATTTATCAAGCGGGTTGGGTTTGTACCCGGAGAAACTGTCACAGATTGAAACGATTCCCGGATATTCCAACCCCCTCCATCCGGGGCCCTGAACAGTACATAGTACACCAGCAATTAAATCTGTTCATAGTACACCCAAATTTCTGTTTCAAGTACAAGGAATTGTGTTCAACATTGTAAAATAAGAATATTTAGGAATATTTAGAATTTTTGAGACTCTGCATCACAATTCTAACCGATTTCAAACTACAATTTACATATCTTAGAATTAGAGATGGGGAAAACTTTATGGTTCGTTCCTACACATTTCAGGTTTTCTCGCTTCAGATGTTTCTGACAAGCTAGCTTTTATTACGTTGAACATATTTACTAAAAAGATGATAAACAAAATTTAACCGATCCGTTTAATCTTTTTGATTTGCCTTCTTCTTTTTTGAACAATGTCGTGACATAATTGTCTAGTCCGATATATCATTGCAACCCAATGTAGATAATTTCAACTATTTACGAACTCAGTAAGATCAAATAACCTAGTTTGAAATATTTAAGGTCTACGCCATCAGGTCACAAAGATGTGGGGATTAGAAAATTCGAATTTGTGGCAATACCTCAAAAATATCTCCGATTCTTGTGTAATAAAAGACAAACCTTGAATGTTTAAAACGTCCATTTCTACATGGAATTCATGGGTTTAGGCTAAACTTGTGGTTTAGTGAAATATTTGCAAAGATTTTGTATTGAAACCCTGGACTTAAGGATATAAGTTAAATCTCGCCTGAACTCTTTATCTGAGAAATGTTGAATAAGATGACGTAAATCTTCTCCGGTTGGTTGGAGACGGTTCTCCTGATAGGAACAGAATTAATTAGGTTTGGGTTTAATATATCTCAGATTTTAGGTCAGGATATATCACGTTTTAGGTTCAGGATATATCAGTTTTAGGTTCAGGATATATTATCTTTAAGGTTCAAGACATATCAGGCTTAAGTTTAGGATATATCAGGTGTAGGTTCAGGATATATTATCTTTAAGGTTCAAGACATATCACGCTTAAGTTCAGGATATATCAGGTGTAGGTTCAGGATATATTATCTTTGAGGTTCAAGACATATCACGCTTAAGTTCAGGATATATCAGGTGTAGGTTCAGGATATATTATCTTTAAGGTTCTAGATATCTCAGGGTTTAGGTTCAGGATATATCATGTGTAGGTTCAGGATATATTATCTTTAAGGTTCAAGACATATCAAGTTTAAGTTCAGGATATATCAGGTGTAGGTTCAGGATATATTATCTTTAAGGTTCTAGATATCTCAGGGTTTAGGTTCAGGATATATCAGGTGTAGGTTCAGGATATATTTAGATATCTCAGGGTTTAGGTTCAGGATATATCAGGTGTAGGTTCAGGATATACCATCTTTAAGGTTCAAGACATATCAGTCTTAATATCAGAATATATCAGGTTAAATTCAAAATCAGGTTCAGGTTCAGGATATATCATACAAACAAAAGGTTTAGTTTCGGAATATATCAGGTTTAGGTTCATACATCATGTATAATGTTCAGCTTTATCAGCTTAAAGGTTCAGGATATATCATTCTTAGGTTCAAGACATATCAGGTTTAAGTTTAGGATATATTAGGTTAAAGTTTAGGATATATCAGGTTTACATTCAGGATATATCAGGTTCAGGTTCAGGATATATTATCTTTGAGGTCAAGACATATCAAGTTTGGTTTCGGAATATATCAAGTTGAGGTTCAAGATTAATCAGGTAAAATGTTCAAGGTATGTCAGCTTTAATGGTTCAGGTTATTTATTAGGTTTGGGTTCAGGATGTTTCGGGGATTGGTAAAGTAAATATAATTATATGTTCAAGATATATTGGTTTTAGATTCAGGATTTTTACGGATTCGGTTAAAGATACATCAGATTTAGGTTCAGGTTAAAGAAATTTCAGTTTTAAGTTAGACATATTAGATTAGGGATAAATGAGGTTAAGGTTCGTAATGTGGATTTCTTCCCTCAAAAAGTAACTTTCAATAGGAATCAGTTTCCCAGCAATTTTTATTAAAACCCTTTTTAAAATAAAAACAAATTAATGCATTTTTATGCAGTTAAAGTTTCTTAATTAAATCAACAAATTCCTTCTCAACAACATCAGGGTTTCTGGGTTTTATTAAGAATTAATATTTTAATCTGATGTTTTCTTATTTTTTTTAGTTGCGGTGAAACTGAAAAGCTGTTTTTTGTTCCACCAGGAAATATTTCAAGATTGCAATGTAATGGTTCGGACTGCGGAGTGCACAGTGCTGATCATAATTAAATAATTACAGAATCCAACCCGGTAAAAGAATAAAGCTATTGATGCCGGAAGGGAGGAAGGGGGGGGGGGTAATTTATTATTGTTTATACCTTGAGAAGTGTGGACTCATTGAAGCCTGCAGGATTCCTAAACTCTGAAACCTGGTTCTGATTAGAACCCGGAGCTGGGGAGAGGAGAGGGACGGGGGTTCTAGGTTGGGTTCATAATATAAATACTTTGCTTAAGCTTCTGTAATTTAAAGATTTAGTTATGTCCTTCCTTCCTCCTCCAGCAACCCCTGGAGGACTAAACTATAGGAAAACTATTGCAAAATTATTTGTAATTCTTTACTAAACAATATTCCTCATCTTTCCATTTATATTTCCCTGTCAGGGTTAGAGGACGGTATTATCCACTCTCCAGCAGGAACTTCTTTCCCGTCCAGAACCTGAGATTGTATCTTCCAGGTCCCGGAGTCAGGAACCTTAAACTCGTCCTGGTTTATCCCTGCCAGAAGCTTCTGGAGCTGGTTCTCCTTTAACTTGATTTGATGAAGAAGTCTCTGTTTCTCCAACTGACTCCCTTTTTCCTTAATCTGACGGAGCAATTCCTCCTTTGTTGCTGCTAAAACATGATTAGACATGGGTTTACTATCCGCTGAGTTAGTAGTGTTAGTTTTTGAATTAGATTTTGAAATAAAGAAAGAGATGTCATCATTGCTAGTTTTAAATCCTGAACCTGGAAGAAGAAGGTTGGGTGTGTTAGTTATTAGTTTAGTGGAAATCATATTATTTGTTAATTTCTCAAAGTTTCCTGAACTTTTCATCGGAGCTGGAGTTGTACTTAATCTGGGATCAAAATAGACTGTCGTTGGTTGAGTGGAGGCGGAGAACCAATCCTGGGTAGGTTTGGTAGTACCCTCAGTGGGAAACCTCCAGGACGGAGTAGTTGGGACGGATCCAGGAAGACTAAGTAAAAGAGGAAAGGTATGGATAGAAGGAGAAGGATGGGATGCACTATTTACAGAGAGTGAAAGGTGATTTCCGTCAGACGGGAGAAAATTATTTTTGGGAAGGTTTGCTAAAGATGCAAGTGAAGAGGGTGCATTAACTACAAACCCCGTTATATTACCATTACTGAACAAGCACGGTTTCCAGTTCCTATCCGCAGTGTTTAAGTGTATACATAAATCAAGATCTGAGGAATTAAATGAACCGAGAAGTTGTGACTCCTCAGCATTTATAAAGTCAATGTTATTTTCTGCTAAGTGCTCAGTATATTTATGGACCTGGATAAACTGACCTGATTCAGAACGTTTAACCCTTGCACCCCGGAAAAGAGTTAAGGACTTTACATCAGGATGGGCGGAGAGAGGAGAAGGAAAGAGGTCAGGAGGAGGAAGAGGATGGTTTCCAGGAACAAGGATGTGAGCTGCTCCGGGATGATGAGGAACAGGAGGGGGATGATCAATGGATTTCGAATGATGGGGTTGGTAATCATCATACGGGAGGTAGTGGAGAACATAACCAGGATCAGGGAGAGATTTGTAATCCTTGTTTACATACTCCGGCATCTTAGGTTTGTAAGTGGTGGGATGATAATCTGGTTTAGGAGTAACATAAACTGATGGTAGGGGGTGTGATCCGATCCCAAATATCTCCTCTAATGATCCACCATTATGGGGCGGAGCGTATCCGTGTCCAGATTCATGATAGACAGGTTCGGGTGCATGATATTCAGGTTTAGGTGCATGATATTCAGGCTTGGGTACATGGTACTCCGGTTTGGGGGCATGATATTCAGGCTTAGGAGCATGATATTCAGGTTTTGGCGCATGATATTCCGGTTTTGGTGAATGATATTCAGGTTTTGGCGCATGATATTCAGGTTTAGGAGCATGGTATTCAGGCTTGGGTACATGGTACTCGGGTTTGGGAGCATGATATTCAGGTTTAGGTTCAACATATTTTAGCTCTGGAGGATGCATAACTGTGATGATATGATGTTCAGGCTCATGGTAGGAAGGTTTCACTGCAGGATGATATTTGGTTGGAACCCCAAATATCTCCTCTAATGATGCTCCATGTTCAGGTTTAGGATATCCGGAGACAGGGTGATCATAAACTTTTGGTGGATGATAAACAGGAGCAGGTTCGGCATAGGTATCAACTACATGGTGGTCAGGATGATGAATAGAATGCGCCATATGTGGATACTTCTCCATATAGTAGTTTGGCATAGGTATACCAAATACATGCTCTAGACTGAAGGGATGACCCGCCATTTTTGCTGTAGGAGGTATATAATCTCCGGTAGGATGTTTAAAGTCCGGCGCATACTCAGGTACGTGGTATCCCGGAGTAGGAGGGGCGTAGGCAGGTTCAGGGGCGTGGTATTCCGGAGTAGGAGGGGCGTAGGCAGGTTCAGGGGCGTGGTATTCTGGAGTAGGAGGGGCGTATGCAGGTTCAGGGGCGTGATATGCCGGAGTAGGAGGGGCGTATGCAGGTTCAGGGGCATGATAAACTGGTGTGGGAGGGGCATAGGCGGGTTCAGGTGGGTGGTATGCAGGAGTAGGAGGAGCGTGATAAACTGGAGTTGGAGGATGGTAGGCAGGTTCAGGATTATGGTAGGCTGGATGTACAGGATGGTACGGAGCAGGAGTAGGGTGGTATGGAACAGGAGTGGGATGATACGGAGCAGGAGTGTATCCTGGTCCAACTCCAAAGATCTCCTCTAGGGTTCCTCCGTGAGCAGGTTTAGGGTACCCGGAGATAGAATGATGAGGAGTTGGAGTATAGTGTCCTACATCTCCTTTAGACTCTATCAGGATTGGAAGACCATGCGAAACCGTCTTTGGGGAGTGATGGATATCATGAGGATCGTGATGAGCTTCTTGTGGTGGATGGTGTGCTTCATGAGGTGCGTGATGCGCTGCATGTGGAGCATGATGTGCCTCATGAGGAACATGATATTCTTCTCCATGAACCTGATGATGTTCTTTATGAACTGCATGATGAGTTCCATGATCCAGTATTCCGTGACTTATGTGATGAGTTGGGGTAGAGATAGTAACATGATGACCACCCAGAGGTGCTGGAGTTGGAACCCGAACCAAGGCTACAGGGGTGATATGTCCATCATGGTCAATTACCAGGTGTTCTTCATGAGCAGGATGATGAGGATGATGCTCACCATGACCAGGGAGAAGGTTGGGGTCTGCTTCTCTTTTCGTTCTCTCTTCAAGTTTTCCGTCCCACTTAACGCTCTTCTCAAAGTTAGAGAAGAATGATCCTACCGGAGGGAATCCAAGGTTGGACGGAGTTGGATATGGTATCTCCGGATAGGAAGGACTATGCGGAAGATTTCTTAAACCCCCTTCGGGTTTTTTCTTTCCACCTTTTATTTTAGCGTCGGGTTTTTCCACTGTGGTTTCGTTACTAGTGAGTTTCTCTGCTTGAGGAAAGACTGCTTCCTCTGGTTTAGGTGTAGTTCTTGGTTTATCTCCATCCTTGTAAACTCCAGTAGCCTGTAGGAGCTGGGAGAAATGTGATGGTCCCGCTGCTAGACTGGAGGAACCAGGATACGGTCTATACAATCCAAAACTTCAATATTAAAGGATTTTAAGGGAAAAAAAAACAAAAAATGTTAACAATAACTTCTTTAATACATTTATTTAAAAGTTTTAGGATACATTTAGGATTGTTTTAGTTTTGGAAGAATAAAATGTTTGTTTTGGTCTTTACCCTAGAGCTAGGAACAAGATTGAGAGGTAGTGAAAGCAAACCTGAAAAATTTTTAAAAATTAATATTTTTTTAATTAAAAGTTGTGCTACAGTAAAACGTGGTTTTAATCAATAATTTTTTTATTTTAACAGAAATGAATTGAAACTTTGCCACAAACTCTTATTTTCTAATCCCTATATCTTTGCAACCCAATGTGGTAGACTTTTGATATTACAAACTATGAACTCTGCAAAATCAAATAATCAAGTTTTAAATATCACAGGTTTACACTATTAGATTGCAAAGATATAGGAACTAGAAAGTTTAAGTTAGTGGCAAAAATTTAATTCATTTGTAAATTAAAATTCTAATATAATAAAACAAGCAATTCATACATATGTTCCCTATAGCTGGCCAAGCGCCTGGACCAAATGGGCTGCATTTTTTTGTGGACACTCATGGGAAGCGGGGGTAAAAAGAAAAAAAATTCCATTTTTTTTGTTTAAAATTTTTTTTCAAATATTTTTTTACGGGCAACGTAATATTTTTTTTCAAATCTTTTTTTAACGTGCTTTCTGCTAGTAATTAATAAAATATTTCAGAACAAATATTGCTAATTAGAAACAAAATTAAACTTAATTAGCTTAACAGCCATATGAAAATGTCCTCTGATAACTTATAATTAATTTTTCTCCTGATAATAAATTATCTAAATTTCTAAAAATATCTCTTCAAATAGTTTATCTTGAAGAGACTAACCGATATAAATCTAACCCTCTTCCTCTCTTCTTTAAACTATTTTATCCTAAGGAGTAGGGATTGAACCATAATATCTCATCCTAGTCTGTCGGAGAACTAATCGATTTCCAAACAGCATTAATTCAAGTACTGATAAAACCCAAATCTATCTTAAAAGCAAAAATATTCTTATTTCAATCTTCTTCAGGATGAACTCAACTGATTTTGAATCGATGCTGTTAGGGTAAACTGATTCTCGATCACGAGAAGCTTATCTTATTCTTTATTATATGTTTCACTATAATAATTTGTAGATTTAAATATTTTGAGTTAAAAAAATAAACCGCAAATACCAGCTAATTAATGTCGTAAGTCCTAAAACCTAAGACAGTTCCTGTTGTGAATCGATGACTGCAAATGTTTACATGAAGAGTCACTTGAAATTAGATTACCATTAAACTGTACACACTATATAACACCACTGGTTTTTAATCTTAATAATTAGATCAAAATTAAGAGTTTTTCCAACCATATTTGCCTTTGCAAAATAATTATGAAACTTAGTATTTAAAAGATTTCTTGTTGATATTATTTTCAAGAAATTTTATCAAAGGGCTCCTGAAAATTATAAAATTGAATTAATTTTAAATCATATTTAGGGTCTCGTTAAGCTGATTAAGGCTTACTTTTAAAAACAAATTTAACTTTACCATAATCCTCTTCTCTAAATATTCACGATAAAAAAGAAAAAGAAAAACTGCAAAATTGGAAAATATTTTTTTTGCTAAACTTTGAGTTTTTAATACACGAGATTAAAAAATTGTTGGAAAAATTAAAAATAATTATCATCTGTTATCATTAGAAACTATAATAGATTTCTTTTTATTAAAAAATTTCAATATTTTCACATTTATTTATATTTTTTAAGTTTTGAAATAATTCACCGTAAAAATATTATGATTCCACTCAAACATTTCATTAAATGTCAAATCTTTACCCATGATATTTGGAAACTAAATTGAAAAATGTTGAGTTTTTTGTAATATTCTTTTTCCTGAGTCCCCCTGCACACGTCGGATCCTGTTTAGATCTTCTGCTTGAGAAAGAAAGTAATTCGATTATGATAATATCTTTTCTCCGAACCCTAGCCAGGAGTAAGGATCAGGATATAATATCTTGTATCTGAACCCTAGTCAGGAGTAAGGATCAAGATATAATATCTTGTATCTGAACCATGGTCAGGAGTAAGGATCAGGATATAATATCTTGTATCTGAACCCTAGTCAGGAGTAATGAGCAAAATATAATATCTTGTATCTGAACCCTAGTCAGGAGTAATGAGCAAAATATAATATCTTGTATCTGAACCCTAGTCAGGAGTAATGAGCAGAATATAATATCTTGTATCCGAACCCTAGCCAGGAGTAAGGATCAGGATATAATATCTTGTATCCAGGAGTAAGGATCAGGATATAATATCTTGTATCCGAACCCTAGCCAGGAGTAAGGATCAGGATATAATATCTTGTATCTGAACCCTAGTCAGGAGTAAGGATCAGGATATAATATCTTGTATCTGAACCCTAGTCAGGAGTAAGGATCAGGATATAATATCTTGTATCTAAACCCTAGTCAGGAGTAAGGATCAGAATATTATATCTTGGATCTGAATCCAAGTCTGGAGTAAGGATCAAGATATATATATCTCTTTCCTTTAAGTGCTTTAACACCTCGCCCGAAAATGTTTATTTCTTATTTATATTCATTTTATAAATCTAAATATTCGCGTGTGATTGTATTGACCTTTAATCAAGAATGTTTTATGGTTAAATAAACATATTTTTATATAAAAATTGCTTGTCTTTTCGCACGATGTTATAAACTTACATAGAAGTCGAATTTCAGAAAAATAACTTAAGAATTTCGTGTTTTTGTTTTTGTGCAATGTCTTATCTAATTCTGAAGTACTGCTCTCTAAAACTTTTCTTTTGTAATTTCTAGTATAAATATAAAATTGTAATTTAATTAAAAAATATATTTTTTAAATCACTTTAATGGTAGAAGCACTTTATACTGTTCTAATTGGTTGAATTTTAGGTTTAAAGTGTTATATTACAATACTTCAAAATGTACACGGTCCAAGATGAAAAAAAAATATTCAAATTTTCTTACACTCGATTTCTAAAAAATACATTTAATTTTATTACAATATATTTACCCTTTTTCCTTTTTGAAAAATACCATGGAAGCTCCTTTAAAATTAATTATCTGTCTTCAAATCCTTGGTATACTACCTGCCCCCCTCCTCCCCTTAGTATTGTATATAACCCAACCATATACATCATTTATAACAAATTTTCTTTTAAATTTTCCGATGGTTTGGACACGCTGTGAAAAGTAAAATTGTATTCATAAAATCCGGGAAACATATCCAGGGAAAATCATCCTTGCTAGAAAGACAACATTTGAAACTTTGCGCGCGAAAACAGCCAGTATGTCAGAAATCAAATATATTTGGAGTAAAATATTCCCACAAAGATGCATTCGACATAGTTTTGACACAGAGAGTTCTACGTAAACCGACCTAGACATTCCAGAAAGAAACCAAGATGTTTCATTGAGATGCAAAAATGCAACTCCAAACCATTCCTAGTAACATTCTTATTTGTCTCCATAAAATTGATTAAACTAGTAGGTATGAAAACCTTTTCTCCCAGTACGGAGGAGGGCCGATACTTACTTTAATAGTTTGAAAAGAAGCTTCTTGGAGAAAATATATAAACACGTTTTTACACAGATTTCCTGTCCTGAAAGTTTATTTGGGTTGAAAGATCTGAGTAGTGTAAGAAAGATAAGAGGTATGTCTGGAGCCACGACTCTGCAATTCTTATTTCTTCTCTCCACCCGGAGTATCTAGAATCTAGAAGTATCTTCTCTACTTTCTACCCGGATTATCTAGAAACTAGAACTATCTTCTCTACTTTCTACCCGGAGTATCTAGAAACTAGAAGTATCTTCTCTACTTTCTACCCGGATTATCTAGAATCTAGAACTATCTTCTCTACTTTCTACCCGAAGTATCTAGAATCTAGAGCTCTCTTCGTTACTCCCCACCCGGAGTATCTAGATACTAGAACTATCATCTCTACTCTTCACCCGGAGTATCTAGAATCTAGAACTCTCTTCTCTCCACCCGGAGTATCTAGAAACTAGAACTCTCTTCTTTACTCTTCACCCGGAGTATCTAGAATCTAGAGCTCTCCTCTTTTCTCTCTACCCGGAGTATCAAGAATCGTGAACTCTCTTCTCTACACTCTACCCACATATTCTAGAATCTAGAACTCTCTTCTCTCCACCCAGAGAATCTAGAATCTAGAATTATCTTCCCTGATCTCTACCCAGAGTATCTAGAGTCTAGAACTTTCTTCTCTACTCTCCAGAGAATTAATATCTAGAGCTCTTTTCTCTACACTCTACACAGAGAACCTAGAATCTAGAACTATCTTCTCTACCCTTTACCCAGAGAATCTAGAACCTAGAATGTTTTTGATTCTCCACTCGAGGATCTAGATCTCACTTTTTCCGACCTTCCAGAGAGGAACATGTCCAGAACTTCTCGGTTCAACAATTGTAAAACTTCTCTGTTTTACTTTAGATCTTGAGAAATGAAAAGTCTAATTTTTATATTTGCCCCTGAAGATTGAGTTTAGAACTTCTCTGTTATGCATGAAACCGGAAAAAGAAATGAATCGAGAAATATAAAATGTATTGTCTTTTGTAAATTGCACACAGAGAATAATGTGTTTAGAACTTTCAAGTTCTAGTGAGCTACCGGAGAACGAAATGTTTAAAGCTTTTCCTTTGCAAGTGGAGAAGGAACTTTTCAGTTCTACTATGGAACCAGAGAAGGATTAACACACTTTTCTCATATGAAGCCAGAGGAGAAATTATCTAGAGCTTCTCAGTTCTAGTGTGCAACCAGAAAAGTAAGAATCTAGGAAAACCACGGGTTCTGTGACAGGATTATAACCTGTACTTAATTTCAACAGGTTCCAGTTACAAATCATGAAAACATTTTACAAAAATCTTAAAATCATTTTTCCATGCACACTAAACATGGTTTCGGGTTTAAAAAGAATGGCCCCGTCAATTACTACAACAGGCACAGGATAATATTCTTTATTTTGTATTCACCCTGTGCAGGTTTTTATTGCCACTGTTTTTGATGTTTTTGTTTCTTGCGGAGAAACTGTATTCAATCAATTATAATCAAATCAAGTCAGAAACTGAGCCAAAGATTGAACCTATAGAATCAGAACCAAC